ATAAAGATCAAACATTATTCTACCATGTTTTAGTTGAAATTATTTGAAAATATAACAATTTTCACTATTTCCATGTATTCGACCGTACTTCTTACATTGGCTTCGACCGTACTTTTATATTTTTAAAAACAAATTATAAACGATTTATAATAAAAATAATATTATTTAAACTAATTATCAAGAATTTTAATAAAATAATTTGATGTTTCATATAAAAATAACCGGTACCAATTATTGGCGCATTGATTTGACCAAAGTAAAGCATGTCAGGACGTTGCTTGGATTGTATATTTTTTTCAAAATCAAAATATGATTTAATAAATCAAATAAATAGTCAGTTATAAAGATCATACTTCATTCTAGCATATTTTACCTAATTTTTTTTGAAAATATAAAAAATTCTACTATTTCCATGCATTCGACCATGCTTTTTGCATCTGCGTCGTATGAAAACAAACGCCAATAACTCATTTGAGCTTCCGGTAAAGATAAGGTGTAAATTGTAACAGGAAAAATGGATAGTGCAGGAAACAGGTTTTTATGTGGTATAAAGTACCAGTTCATATGACCATAATATACTTTTAATCTTCACGAACCACGAGCGAGTTGCAAAATATTTTATATTTCACGTCAGCAGGATTGTAAAAAATTATAATGAAATTAAAAACTAAAGTACCTTGACGTATTACCAGAAACTTACAATCATTATAATAAAATGTATATTTTATATAGCATCAAGATTTTTTTATGGAATTTTATATCTAAACCAGTACTCCTCTGTTTATTCGGAAAATAAATTATTCTGAAAGAAAAACTTGGACGTGATATGCAAATTAGATTTTGCGTCATGTAAAGTGATAATTCTGATATAAAGATATTTTTATTGAAATAAGTAGAAAAATAAAATTGGAAAGGAAGAAACGGGACATCATGGGGTCTTGGAGAAGTAAAACATTAAATTTATTATGTGGGAAAAACGTCAGCAGAATATATAAAGATCTTGTATATTTTTTATAATTTATATGTGTATTTGTGTACGCTTTTACAACATTCTGTTTTTTATAATATGAAAAATAGTTTTAGCAATATTTAATAAATATTTTTTTCTAATTTTGTTTTGTTTTGTTTCAGGTGAGTCACTTTTTTAAACATAGGATTTCTGCACATTTGGTATGTAAGTCGCTTTAGTAATTTTCTTTGGAAATGTATAAAAATAAATGTAATAGTATTTTTACTAATCTATTGCATTTATTTATAATACCATTTCATTCGATTTGTAATAAATTTTGTAGAGACATCGGTATAAAATTCAACAATATTATCAGACGTTTGTAAATAGCTTATATTGGAAAAGTTTAAAGGTTTCACAATTTTTCGAATTTACCATCAAATATGATATAAATCATTGAGGCAGTTATTGCGTTTTTTGTGGACTCCTACTCCAGTGGATTGAAATCTATTTAGGTCAACATCTTGGTATTACCAAGAACAACAAAAAAATTGTTTTGATGTGGTTTTTGAGTACTGGTGCACATTGACAAACCCAATGAGTAGATAGATACTTAAAATAGAAATTCATTCAGCCAACTTATAGATTTGATCTTTATTCTCCTGGTCTACCCGTTGTAGAAGTTTATAAATACTCTTAACGCACTCGCAGAAATGCTATTCTAAAGTTCGCAAAAAAGAACATAAAGCATTTCAAATGCCAGCAGACCAGACAAGACAGACGAATACTACATCGAAATAGCAAACTTTGTTCGCATAACATCTAAGAAAAAGACACTTCATCCGATTTGCTCTTTCGTTCACGGCCACTTACGCCAGTAAATTGATATTCGTATGTTTTAGAAATTGAAAATATTTGCACAAATGTCAAAGAATGTGTTTTCGATAAACAATTTTAGTAGACGAACGTGGATTACAAATAGAGAAATTGGAGTTTTTTATTTATTGCTTTTTTTAACTTCCCGTAGGGTAAGTTATAGTAATCGCAAAAAAATCGAAAATGAAAATTTTTATATATCTTTACGTTTCAGAGGTTTCTGAACATTTTTGGCATACCTTAGAAAAAATGGATGTATGTGTGTGTGTTTGTGTGTGTGTGTATGTGTTGTGTATGTTATGTATGTATGTACGTGTGTGTATGTATGTGCGGATACAAATTTTCGCGTCGACGATTTCGGGAACATGGGTCAACCGATTTGAATAATTCAAAAAACATTCGATTCGTATTGATAAGGAAGACGTGCTGATTAGTTTTTGGCGAAGGCAGGTCTAGCCGTTCCGAAGATACGGGGCAAAAAGTGCCGAAAACGGTAACTCAGTTTTTGAGAGAACGGAGCGTCCGATTTGAATAATTCAAAAACATTTCACTTGTATTGACAAGATGAAGAATCGATAAAATTTTCATAAAGGTAGGTCTAGCGGTTTTCGGAGATATGGAGGAAAAGTAAAAAAATGAGCCATTTGGCGGTCAAAAATGATTATTAGACATATGCACATCAAATTATCAGATATTTTATAGAGATTTTAACAATAAGTATAATTTTGGTTTACATTCCTATGGGTTCCGTACCAATGTTTACGCGTTAGACGTCGACGCGGCGCTTACGCTGTTTGATATTTCGTCTTTATGCAGTTTAAGCAGTACGATTGATTTGAAAAGAAAGTTCAGATCTTCCACAATATGTCAAAATAAAAAAAAAAATTTTCAAAAAAAAAACAAAAAAAAAAAATTAAAAAAAAAATTTTTTAAAAAAAAAAAAATTTTTTCAAAAAATAGTAATTTTTGTGTCCAATTATAGTTTCTCAAAATCTTATTTTTTCAAAGTAATTTTTTTTTTCAAATGTTAATAATAATCGTTTTTAAAAATAATAATTTTTGGTACGGGAAGTTCCAGCAATTTGCCTCAGCACAAGGCACGATTCCTTAATTGCCTTAAGACAGAATTCCACTTACAGCTAGTTTTGACATATTTGGAAATTCTGAACTTTTTAACTTCCCGTAGGGCTAGTTATAGTAATCGCAAAAAAATCGAAAAATGAAATTTTTATATATCTTTACGTTTCAGAGGTTTCTGAATATTTTGGCATACCTTAGAAAAAATTGATGTATGTGTGTGTGGTGTGCGCGCGTGTATGTATGTGTGTGCGAATACAAATTTTCGTCGACGATTTCGGGAACACGGATCAAGCAATTTGAATAATTCAAAAACATTCAATTCATATTGATAAGAAGACGTGCTGATTAGTTTTTGGCAAAGGCGGGTCTAGCCGTTCCGAAGATACGGGGCAAAAAGTGCCGAAAACGGTAACTCAGTTTTTATGAGAACGGAGCGTCCGATTTGAATAGTTCAAAAACATTTCACTTGTATTGACAAGATGAAGAATTGATCAAATTTTTGGAGAGAGATCGGAGTATCGGATTTGAATGATCCGAAAAATATTCAATTTGTAATGATGGGGAGAAGTGGTCATTAGTTAAAAAGCAGGTCCTGCGGTTTCGGAGATACAGTGCTAAATGTGACAGTTTTTGAGCGAACTAAGCGTCCGATTTGAATGATTCAAAGAACTTTCTGCTTGTTTTAACAAAATAATTGTTTTTGGGGAAAAAAATCGTTTCAATTTTTTTTTTTTAAAAAATTTTTTGTATATCGAAAATAATTCAGATTTTAAATGTAAATCTGACTCAAGTTCTAATATACTTGAAACAAATATTTTCAACTTTGCAATTCAGTTTATATAATTCTTATAAATATTAGACAATGTTACAGCATTTATTTATAATTATCTATTTGAATACATTTAACCCTCCGTCGGTCGGATATTTTTTCACCTTCGAACGGTCGGAAAGGTCTGGCTGGACCACCATTCATTTTACATGCATTTATATGAGATAAATGAGATTTTGGTGTCTTATATATTAACGATTATATAAAAAAATCAAGAAATATAAAAAAATCGTTGCTTTTTTTGTTAATTTTTCTGTTTTATATCAATGAAAAACAATATATATTCTTTTTCGGCGCCTTTGAAATGAATGTGAAATTTAAATGAAAATGAAATGAAGTGCGTCGCCTTTGAAATGAGCTGTAAAACTCAAGGTGAAAATATGATTTCACTAGAGGTTTTGCCAAAAAAAAAATTCGAACGCAGTACGGGTAGAAAAATTGTTGATAATGTGTGCATTACTCATCCGATTTTCAGTGTTTGCGATTACCAATAAGTTTGGTAGGTTTTCAAGGAACTCTCGTCATGAAAATACTAACGTTCATGTTACAAGTACAACACATAGCAAAGAATTTATACAACGCAGTTTGAATAGAAAATACCATGAAAAAAGACAAATATTGGTTTACATATATCAAAAAGCGTATATTTCATACAAAATGTATGGGTGGTCTAGACAGACCTTTCCGACCGTTCGAAGTATAAAAAAGTTAATATCCTTATAATTATCCTTCAATACATTTTTTTTGTCCTGATTTTTTCATTGATCGACAGCTAATGAAATTTTAGGAAAAGTCAAGAAATTTCAAGTCGATAGGATTACTAGAAGTATTTTTTTTTTAAATTGAGGTCGAAAAAAGTCTGGCCAGACCACGCCGACCGACGGAGGGTTAATATTTCTCGAACATTTTGTTACGGTACGAGAAGTTCCTGCAATTTGACCCAGAGTCAAAACGTCGAGAAAACAAAATTAGCAAATCAGATTTTCTGGCACACATGATGCTCACATGCAAGGAATGATTTTTTGGCGTGGTCATAATTTAAATAAAGTTTGGTTTATTAAAATAATTAATATAATTAATCAAAACATTTTGTCATAAATAAAGTTAACGTTTTATGTATTTATCATTTTCGGAATTAATGTTTTTTGCTGCATTTTCATGATTAAATTGAAAACTTTTAATTATATTGAAGAATTATAATAAAACATAAAATATAAGCATAAAGATAAATATAAATTACTTTATTTCATATATCAGTTCATATTAGGCCATTTTTCAAGAATTTTTCTTCCAATTAGTGATATTAACTATTAGTGTACAGAAGGCTGAAGTTTCTGCGGGCATATTTCAAATCGCTTTTTCATTTCAGAACATGTAGCAGCTGGAAACAAATATTTGAAATTTATTAGAATATATAGTATCAATATTTATAAATTTTTACTATAAAACTTACTATCATTCCAAAAACGCCGTGGACAGTTCTGAAAAGAGTAATAAAAATAGGTTTAATTTGATATTTAATTTAACTATTTAAAAAAAACTGAAAAGCAAACAATAAAGTTTTAAGTTTGATTATATAAATAAGTAAACTAGCTGTAAGTGGAATTCTGTCTTAAGGCAATTAGGGCATCGTGCCTTAAGGCAAATTGCTGGAACTTCCCGTACCAAAAATTATTTTTTTTTTTTAAAACGATTAACATTTTTGAAAAAAAATTACTTTGAAAAAATAAGATTTTTGAGAAACTATAAATTGGACAAAAAATTAGTTTTTTTTGAAAAAAAAAAATTTTTTTAAAAAAATTTTTTTTTAAAAAAATTTTTTTTTTAAATTTTTTTTTTTTTGAAATAAAAATTTTTTTTCTTTATTTTGACATATTGTGGAAGATCTGAACTTTTTTCAAAGCAATCGTACTGCTTCAACTACATAGGGACAAAATATAAAGCGCGTAAGCGCCGCGTCGCTGTCTAACGCATAAGCATTGGTACGGAACCGATAGGAATGTTAACAAAATGTATACTTATTGTTAAAATCTCTATAAAATGTCTGATAATTTGATGTGCATATGTCTAATGATCATTTTTGACCGCCAAATGGCTCATTTTTTTACTTTTTCCTCTATATCTCCGAAAACCGCTGGACCTACCTTCATGAAAGTTGTATCGATTCTTCATCTTGTCAATACAAATAAAATGGTTTTTGAATTATTGAAATCGGACGCTCCGTTCTCTTAAAAACTGAGTTACCGTTTTCGGAACTTTTTGCCCCGTATCTTCGGAACGGCTTGACCTGCCTTTGCCAAAAACTAATCAGCACGTCTCCTTATCAATACGGATCGAATGTTTTTTGAATTATTCAAATCGGTTGATTCTTGTTCCCGAAATCGTCGAAAATTTGTATCCGCACATACATACACACACATACATACATACATACATACACACACACATACACACCACACACACACACACACACATACATCCATTTTTTCTAAGGTATGCCAAAATGTTCAGAAACCTCTGAAACGTAAAGATATATAAAAATTTTCATTTTCGATTTTTTTTGCGATTACTATAACTTGCCCTACGGGAAGTTAATTAAGTAAAAATTATATAAATAATATTAGTTATAAATATTTATCAGAAAATTCCATTATAAAAAAATTTTCATATTTGCCAACACATTTAAAAATATTGGTGCTACACATTGGGAATTGCCTTTTACATCCTAGTACTTAATCATAATGTATTCGATATTATATTTTCCTTATATTAACCATTTCGCTACGAACGTCACTTGACGACCTGTGTGTACGAGTGTTCTTCGTACACCTCGAGAAATTTGCTTCACTATTTATCACTCTGAGTTAAATTATTGAAAATTCTAATTTGTTATTAAGGTATTTAGTGTTTCAAAAGTGTAATTTTTAAATACATTTTTATTGATAATTGTTGGAAAATCATAATATGTTATATTGCAAATACTTAGGCTGCTTACTCAATAGTACAGCAGTGTCGCTCTGGTATCAAAAAGGTTAAATACACTACGACATAATAAAAATCTAAACTAGTGGTGCATGGCATCGTGCCTTAAGGCAAATTGCTGAAACTTCCCGTACCAAAAACTAAATTATTAAAAAAAAATTGAAAAATTTAAATATTTTTGAAAAAAATTGGCTTTTTTGAAAAATTTAATTATTTTTATACTTTGATTTTTACTGTATCGTGATTTTTTTTTTGAGAATTTTGAACATTTTTTTAAGCAATGGCGCTGTATAGTCGCGTAGTCGTCTAACTTGTAAACATTGGTACGGAACCCATATAAATGTACACAAAATTTCTACTTATTATCATAATCTTTATAAAATAACTGATAATACGATGTACATATGTATAATGTTCATTTTTGACCGTCAAATGGCATTATTTTTTACTTTTTTATTGAATCTCCAGTGACGCTAGACCTGCCTTTAAAAAATTTTTAACAGTTGTTCATTTCGTCAATACAAGTAGAATGTGTTTTGAATTAGTCAAATCGGACGCTCAGTTATCTCAAAAAGTAAATTACCATTTTTAGCACTTTTTGCCCCGTATCTCCAAAACGGCTAGACCTGCTTTTGCCAAAAACTAATCAGCATGTCTTTTTATTAGTAGAAATCTAATGTTTTTTGAATTATACAAATCGGTTTCTCGAAATCGTCGACGAAAATTCATATCCGTACACACACACATACATCCATTTTTTCTAACAATAAGATATGTCAAAATGTTCAGAAACCTCTGAAAGGTAAAGATATATAAAAATTTTCATTTTCGATTTTTTTTGCGATTACTATAAATTACTCTACGGGAAGTTAATAACAAAGAAAATTTAGCACTAAAATCTTACTATCATTAACAACGCGTAGAAATACTCTAAAAACATATCTGCCTTTGTTTCACATTGCCAATGATCATCAGCTTGGTGCATTTTATCTGAAATATTAAAACATTTATAGTATAATAATAATTTTGTATAGATAACTATTCACAAAAATAAAATATTGCTTATGAACTTGATTATTCATTAACTTTGCTCATATGATAAAGGATAATTTTACATATTTTAGCATTATTCGGCAATTATTATAGGTAATATACTGTAATTCGAGTTTTGAAGAGTAACATAGCAAAAAATATTCTTATTTTTTCAGTAGTCTAAAATATATTAGATCCTTTAAAATTGAATAAAAAATGTCGATAAAATTACAAAATAATAAATAACGTCACAAAAACCCTAGTAAATTTTGAAATGAAATATCTTGTTGGTATTTACATTACATTATTATATTTAAAAAAAGCCAAATCTTTTAATATTAGAGACAAATGTAACTTACCGACCATTAGTGTAGCATTTATTACCAAAAATGGCATATTCTCAGACCAAGCGGAATTTGTTTCAGTTTTGTTGATGATAGAACTATGAAGCTCATCAAAGTCAATATCTTTATCATTTAAAAACCCAGCTGTGGCAAATGTACAATCTCCGATGCACTAAAATAGATGATTATTAGAAGTTAACAAATAAAATTAATATAAAACGTAATAATTTTTATACTTTGCCTAGCATAGACGTAAATATGGCTTCTGCTTCAGACGATGTATTATAATCGATCTCAATTCCACAGGACCTCCACAAGCTCTCGTCAAAAAGTTGCGGGATCGAGCAGCATGCAGATGTGTTCTAGAAAATATGAAAAATCAAAATCAAAAATAAAATACTAAAGTTTCACTAAATACAATAAATTTAAAACCAATTAAATGTGTTTTTTGAATACATGTATAAAAGTTCAATCAAATGCATTGGTATTTCATCAATAAGCTATCTTCTAATCTTTATAGGAGATAATATATATATATATATATATATATATATATATATATAATTTATATATATCCGGATAAATTGTTATTCGAAAGTACATATAGAAATAATTATAGCCTTTAAGACCAGTTTATATTCTAAACAATAGTTGTAGTGTTTCTAAATATATTCATTATTTCATTTATAGAATTAAAATATATTTCTTTTAAAATCGTGTCTGTAATTCTATATATTTTTATATAAAATAACTCATATTGAAGTAATTTTGAATAGTTACCGTGCTCATAGGCATATTTCTGCAAAAATCTTCATCAGAAGCGGATATTTCAAACTGAAATTTAAACAAACCACTTTAATTAGTATATTATCAAAAATGATTTTGTTAATTAAATATATAATTATATGAATTAATAAAAATTACTTACAGCAAATGTTAAAAAAATTAATGAGCATTTCCAAAAATAGTAACTAATTTCACTGTCCATAATATATTATTATATAAGTGTTCCTGCTATATTTAAAATGAAATAATATTATTTGTGATGATTCGTTTTATACCAAAATTGCTTTTATATTATTATATTTAGTAATTGCTTTTTTTGACCAAGTTATTTTCCTATGAATTATGAAATTCATACTCTATGACACAACAGTGTCAAAGCAGATGATTAATAACCTGTTTTCAAAAATGTTATGTTAATTTAAAAACTATTGTGTACTATTCGTGTACAAAATTATTTTAGAACAGGTATTGCTTATTAACTATATAATATAATATGAGATTTATTAGATAGAATATTATTTTAAAATAATGTTTAAATGTAACAAGTAATATATTGTGTGTGGTAATTTCAATTAGATATAATTTGCATTTTGTCTTAGAACAAATTGTATGACACGCGGCCAAATTAAAAATTTGATGAATTTATATGCGGCCGTATTGAAAGTCCTCTGAATTAAAAAGCGACCGTAGTAAAGGCAAAATCTAAATAAAAGCCGTCTATTGAAGGCCATGTTTCCAATAATTTATAAGTAACAAAATAGTATATTTTGGCTTAAGTTTTGACAAGTTGCATGAGCTTCCAATGTGTATGTACAATGGACTAAACTATACGAGATATATTAATTTATGAGTATTTTGCAATGTGAAAAACTATTGCAGATTAATCGTATTAATAGTTTTTTTTTCTCAAATGACCCAAAAAATACACATTATTGAACAAAAACAAACACGTGTCTCATATCTACAAAAAGTATTTTCTAAATTAATATATCTTATGGCCGATTAATTCAAACTTAAATAATTTTTATAATTAAACCACTTGTCGTATGCCTCTAATATTGTAGTATGTTCATTAAGAACACAAACTCTATCCCGTACAAAGTGTTATCAAAATCGAAAAAAAAGAATGCGCGTAAGGTTTACACGCGATTGAAGTGAAACTCATTTGCTACTGTACAAAGTAGCAAATTTAAGTTAAGTACAAATAAATACATCATATAACAATTTTAAATAATGTTTATTAGTAATATGGTAACACTCGTGATGCACACATTTATTAGTGTCAGTCATTATACACATTTATATAAAAATAAATTATAAATTATATATTTATAATAGCATTAAAAAATATGTATAATATTTAAAAACAATAATGTAATTAAGGTCATACTTCAAATATGACATGATCGGTTAGAGAAATGAAGTAATTGCTAATTAATAAATTCTATAATATTCGTTCACACAGTGGATTATGTTAAACAACGCCTTAACAAATATTGTTGTCGCAACTTCACTCATCATGTAATTGTGTTTGAAGAACTTCATGTAATTAAAATGAACATACATTCATTGACTGCTTGTATTTTTTTACTTTTTCGCTGGCGATATAATCTCATGCCATGAACAGCTGTAATATCTGTCTTGCCTAAAAAATATTTTCCATTTTAATTACTTCAAAGATTTATAGAAACTACGAATAATATAGAAATAATTTCTAATCAAAAAACTTACGTTTAGTTGTCGGCAAAAATTGAAAATGGATAAAATTTAAATCTAAACTACAAAACAATTTTTATTAATTGTCAATCAATATCATGCAAAATATAATTGTCAAAGGTATTGGTCAAAATTTTGCCTTATTTACTTGTCTTTTTTTGTTTATTTTTTATGTTGAATATGTTATGTAATATAAAATGGAGAATAACAATATATAATTATTTATGTAAATTGAAATGTAATTGGTTAGCGCAGTCAACAGTGTCTTGATGATCCCCCTTCGGTGCCGTGAGTCACGTATTAATAGGTATTGATAACAACACTTTCAACTAGTATTTATTGTATTTCAAATATTATTGAAATACCATCATTTTTCCCAGTCGTATCTACAGAACAGACCATTTCGCACAAAAATTGGTACTGATTTTTCTGACATTCTGGTTTTGGAAGATACAACCAGTGGTGTTGTCGAGCCGGAACGCGCCGGAACGTCGTTCCGGCAAATCATTTTTGAGCCGGAACGCGTTCCGGCAAGAAAAAATATAAAAACATCGCTACATACATAAAATGATTTAGTAAGTAAATTTTATAAGTTATTATTCAACTAATTTTTATTAAATGTTATTATTGTAATAAACATACATATATGTGCACAAAATGAGTTTTGTAATAATTTTTGTTTCTTTCCTTTTTGAACGGAACTGGAAAAACATGAAAACCGGTTTTAGAACCGGTTTTTAAATTTTAGCGTTCCGGCAAAAAAATATTAGCACAAAACCACTGGTTTTATCAAAGTCGTTTTTAATTTAGTAACAAATTGAGGTGTATGAACTTCTTATAGAAAAAATAATATTTATAAATTAAATCTTCATTCTTCATTCATTCGCATTTCTTATACGCTAACATCTACATCATAGGTTCCTATTCATGTATTTTTATAGCCTTACGTGTGCCTATACGTTGCATTCTATACTACACGCCTTACATCTGTACCATACGCTATATTTCATTATATACTCTCAAATCCCTACATTGTATACCGAATACACCTAACCTATATCTACTATATATCCTATTACCTATAATTTCCCTTACACGCTACATTAACCCTACCGAGATTCGAACCCGGGTCCGCCGCGTGGCACGCGACGACCTTATCCACTACACCACCGTAACGCTACAATCAACCGTCTTTTTTCGCGTGTCGTCGCGCCACCTTAGTATTAATTACCTAATTAATTAGAAAATGACCCGCGGAAACAACAGTGCGTCCCATATTATATTATTAGTGGGGGTATCCGATAGGGTAGTGGTTAAGGTGCGCGACTTCCACGCGGAGGTCCCGGGTTCAATTCCCGGTATAGACAATAGGTAGGTAGAGATAATACATAGAGCGTAAGGTAAACCTATATAATATAGGTGAATATATAAATTAGACAGTAGTATTTATAAGAAGTAAAAGGTCTGTAGGTATATAATAAGTTAATGACGGTATAGATATCTCACGGTATGATAGATAATAGATATCTCTATATGATATACAATAATATAGTATAGTATGATAGGTAATAGGTTATCTATCATATTATTAATAGAATATATAAATTAGACAGTAGTATTTATAAGAAGTAAAAGGTATGTAGGGTATATAATAAGTTAATGACGGTATAGATATCTCACGGTATGATAGATAATAGATATTTATCGATGATATACAATAATATAATATAGTATGATAGGTAATAGGTTATCTATCATATTATTAGGTTAAGTCTTATAAAGTATTGTAATAAATCTTGAGTACTTTTATACCATAATAAATACCTGTAGGTATTAATGAATACAAATAATACCAGAATAAATATGATTAATGTCATTGAAGAATATAAATTATGTACTCAATGATTCCCTCATACTTGTAAAATTTAATGTATAGACTAGCTGTGTATAATAGAGTTAATTATATAAAAAGTCAATATATTAGATTTGTGAGTTCTTATCGAAATATATCAAATTTTTTGAACCGGATTTTAAATTTTAGCGTTCCGGCAAAAAAAATATTAGCACAACACCACTGGATACAACCATTGGAACCTTTGCAGATGATATAGTAATTATGGTATTTCTACTAACAAAAATCCATTACTAGCAAGCATCAAACTGCAATATCATTTAAATAAAATTGAAAACTGGTCTAACTATTGGCGCACAAAAATTAATGAAGACAAATCTCACCCTGTTCTGGCTTATTAATGGTAAATCTAAATTATCATTATAAAACAAAATTCTACTTTATAAAGCGACAATAAAACCGATTTGGACTTATGGCTTAGAGTTGTGGGGCTGCGCCAGTAAATTAAGAATTTTATCTATCCAAAATAGACAATCAAAAATTTTAAGGTCTATTGCAAATGCACCTTGGTATGTCAGTAACTAAATACTACATAACGATCTGAAAATCGTTACTGTCCAGGAGGTAGTGAAAAACAAAAGCGGAATTCATCACAACAAGATCATCAACCACAATAACCCCACATTTATTCACATATTAGAACCATCAGATATTAGAAGATTAAAGAAGAAGCATCTCTTCGATCTAATGCATTAAAATGAAGTAGCCCACTGGTGTGATGTCTATCACGCGATATATGTAGAATTCCAGTACTATTGCTGAAGTTCAAGCACAATAGCTTATAGAATTTTATTATTTTATGATTGCTATTCAATTATTGTTGCACCTAACACAATCTAGTTCCTATAGTAATGTGGAAGTAACACAGGCTACTTCTACAATCAACCACAGTTAATCATAGCCATTATATCTATCGGAAATCAAACACTTTTCCGATTATTAAATATTTATTCATTTATGCCGTGATAAATTTCATAAATTTATCTGAACCAAAACTTTGCATTCGTATCTGATGAGTTCCGATCAGAGAAAGAAGTTGGCTCTTTATCCAAATCAGGATC